TTTGGCTTTGTGTCGATAATTTTCTGTAGTTGGTTTGTAAGGATTAGCTTTGCGTTTACGCGTTGAACACGGACTCTGGAAACCAGGGAGTACTGAACAGCTGTTTCAGCATAGTTTGGGAGTCGTCGGCAGTACGCACCCACTGGGGCTCGAAACCAGGACCGATGATTCCCAAACTAGGATGAAACAGTTTTGTCCAGCACTCCCTGGTTTTCAATGCTTCTCTAACTCATATCACTTTGTCCATAATGTTACCAAACCCTCTTGACGATATTAACTGCCAAGAGAACTCTACCATAATTACAGCTACAGAAATAAATACTTCACAAATGAACCTTACATCTCATGATTTTATATATATATATATGAAATAGAGCTCAGTGCTGGACTTATTCAAAGTCCCCTGAAATGTAAGCTTCAAGCCTACTTTAGATTTGAGAACAGTCAACGTCATGACTTTAAGTGATAACTTTGACCACCCGCTTTCTGGTTTTTAAACTAATATGAGTATTTAGGGTTTTTTCTCAAGTTATACTAAGCCGCTAAACGAATTAAATGACAACATATCATCATCCAACGTCATAACGTACCAGTCAAATATTTTGAGACTATGTAAGTTCATTTAACAATTATCTGTTGTGATTTAGCGAAAGTTAACTTTGACGTAAGACAACCTAAGTCAACATTCCGTCGACGCCTTAAAATATGCTAACTGGAGTGGAAGATGGAGTTAGCCGATAAGTTTAGTGTTTCATTTTAATGTAATCAGAATCAATTGCGAATTCATGTCACATAGAACCCGCACAAGGAACAAACATATGTATTCCCCAAAACTTTATTGTTCCAGTTGATGTGGACTGCAATAATATGATATCTCCACAGTCATTGGAAGAACATTTATTGATAGAACGATCGTTGACAGCTCAGAAATCTGCTGACAGTAGCGAATATACTGTATTGGATGCCATTCGCAACATCGTCTACAGATGTAGGCTTAGTATTGTTGATACACATATTGTGCTGGAAGAATTGAAGCTTGTGTTTCCTAACCTGCCGACTGACACTCGAACATTGATGAGGACTACAGAAGTTGGCTAAAAGAACGAAATCGGTCCCAGGACATATATTCACATTGACTTACGTCATCAGATTCAGTTTCGCCTACAAACGATCAAATATGAAGTCTGAATACCAATGGGTCTGCAACTGAACACTGATGGTGCTCAACTTTTCAATAATTCCAACTCAAAAATGTGAACTGTTCACGGGAAATTGCTGCTTCCTAACTATGACAAGGTGTTCTTGGTAGGTGTCTGCTGTGGTCCATTTAAACCTGCGAGTATACACAGTTTTTTTTAAGGGAAACTATTCTTGAATTAGAATGTGTACGTGGTAACGGTATCATATTATCCAACAGCCACCGCATTGACACAGAACTCAAGGATGTGATCTTCTACACATCACCTAGGGCACTCGTTAAACAAATTACCGGTCACAACTCACCCTGAGGATGAGATAAGTGAGAAGCTATATACCGTTGTGTCAATAATCACATGGTCTTTCCTACTTTCCCGCCGCTCTAAGAACAGACACCGGTTTTCGTAGACAAACGCTACCAAGTCATCATAAGGATAAATCTCCTTTCGAGAGATTGCGTGTAGACATGGTAGCTTCTTTTCCTCTAAACACTCTGCATCTATTATTCTTAGGAATAGTCCAAAAGTTGATCGGCTTGTGCAAAGTGATGGCCACAGGAAGAAAAGGTGTTATGAATAATACTGTTTCGAACACTGTTAACACAAACAGGTTGACTCTAAGTGACCAAGAGGATTAACAAAGACGTCTCCAGAATGAATTCAGTTGAAGTCTTCAGACAACTGACAGTTGGACAACGACGCCGTCATGTCTCCCTTTGAGACGAAGCTATCCGACGAGGAAAAGCGTCGTGGTGTATTCACCAACCTTGGTACTTTGGTCGACTCGAATGTACAGAACTCAGTTAGTCGCATCATGAACGTTATGCTAGGACCAATGTACAGCACTCACTTTTCATGGGCGATTACCAAAGAGAAGAGGTCATTCAAAAATACGAAGACGTGTAACTTTGGAATTCATAGGTGAATTTTGTTTTCAGGAACCATTAACAGTTTCTACTAACAAGGTAGTGTTAATAGACAAACCTCTGTAAACACCGTCATGGCATCCATTCATTTGTGGCTCCACAACAGTCGTGAGAGACTAAAGGCAAGAATAAGGGAACGATGAATTTCGCCGTCGGTATGTCTCAATTTTTCATTTCACTTATTTTCAGATCACCACTAATTAGAGCAAGGAGAACAGACAGTATGCAGAAAGTACACAGCTGAATACTTCTGGGGATTTATTTGATGTGTGCACACATTGCAAAGACATTTTGTAAATATATGTTTTACAAAATTCAACCGTTTCTTAAAATCATGTCTTTGAGTTGACGCAAGTTTGTTGCGACAAGCAGTGTACATAACAGGTATGTATTTGTGTCGGCTATCGACTTAGGGTTCACTTCATAACCGTGCGCATCTGGTTCCAGCTTAGGGTCAGTTGCAGAAACTTACGGGAAGACTTTGGGAGCATTGCAGAATGTTCGGGGGAGACTGCAGACCACTGTCCTACGTTCTGCAATGTGCCCGAAAATTCTGCAGTGCCCTCGAAGAAAATGTTAGCTGGGAGTAGGGTATTTCTAATCTCAACTATTGGTCTCCAACCTGAACTAATAACAATAATTAATTATCGCTAAAATTTTCATCATTCGTGTTTCCTTATCTGCACTTACGGGGATTAGGTAGGTTACTGAATGAAGGGGTACTCGAGCATTTCACATTTAGCAAGCTGGTTATGCGTTACACATAATAAAAATAATACTAAATCTGTCACACTAATATAAACGGTACTAAATTCAAAATATGCACTGTTCTTTGCATATAATGTCGTCAGTAACATTTAAAGTGCTTTCGTTCATTCTGAACACCTTGAGCAACAATCTTCGTATGTTTGGCATGCGATTCGCCCCTGCAAAATGTAAGATGCTGCTACAGGACTGGACCACGTCAACTCCTAGCTTAGTGATAGGGAGTGAAGTGATAGAACATGTTGACCACTTCACCTATTTGGGAAGTTGTATCAGCACCAACGGACTTATTGGCGACGAAATCTCAGCACGGATCCGAAAAGCTCAAGCTGCTTTCGCTGACTTACACCGTCTCTGGCGTAGGCGTGACATCCGTCTATCAAACCAGGGGAAGTGTGTACTGCTCATCAGTTCGCTCCGTCCTTCTCTATGGCTCTGAAACATGGCCAATATGAGTTGAAGACATGAAAAGGTTGACTGCTTTCGATCATAGATGTCTGCGATCTCTGTCTCACGTTAGGTGGTTCTAATAAGGTAAGTAATGTTGACGTTAGGCGTAGAGTGTTGGGCAAACAGGGAAAATCAATCGACGAGGCTATAAAGTTACATAGATTGAGATGACTAGGTCAGGTGGTGCGTATGCCTAACCATCGCCTCCCCCGATGGGCATTACTAGCTGATGATATAGGTGCAGGTTGGAAAAGAGTAAATGGTGGCCAAACAAAAACATGGCCTCATCAATCCATGAAATCCTTGACAGTTAAACTGAGTCAGGTAGGGAGATGCAGGCTCCGGGTTAGGGCCCTCGGGACTCTAGGAATCAATGGCTGGAGACAATAGGTGACATGGCTCAAAATCGTTGTCAATGGCGCAGCTGTATTCAGTCTCTGTAATCTTTCATATTCCTTTCTACCACTACCCATTCTATTTCACTCTTATACTTGTCAGACTGTATTGATTCTCTTCACTCATCTTCTTGTCTACCTCTGTGTGCTATTTGGAACGTGGCAACTCGAACTGGTGCACTTCGGTGCCAAGTTCTATGTTGAATCCAGACAGACAGAGAATACGTTGCCATAAATGTACGAATTTTTTTTTACGATAAGGTCTAAACGGGTTAAATGAATGAGTTATAGGGGGAAACGTTGATACTCTGTCTACCTTTCTGAAGCTAGTCTGTGATCTTGCAAAATGGATAGTTCATCCACTGACGATGTAGGTGATGTAATAATACTGTGCATGTACCCCAAACCAGAAGTTCTGTTGTGACTGACTGTTCACTTAACAAAGAATTATACAGGTGGAAAACAAATAAGCATACTTAACCCGGAGCGTTACCGAGTATTCTAAGCCTTACACAGTTAACCACACAATATCTCTAGCGAAACCATTGAATTCAGATTTTTGTCCTTATTTTTTTGTTGTCATGGAATGATGAAGGTAGAACGCTGAGTCTTCACTAAATAGCCTTGGTTTTTACTATTTTCTTAATAACTATTTCATTCATCTACAAGTAGTGCGCAACACTCCTAACTTGATTCATGTGTATTGAAAAACATCAAACATTCAGACGACAAGGCTTACTCCTAGCTCCGAATTACCTTATATAACTTAACCTAGCTCCGATAGTGTTAAACGCAAGGCAATTATACTCTGATGTCACATATGTGTAAGTGCGATAATTCCAAGAATATTCATTAAACTTACACTTATTTTCGAACAACTGAAGCATACACTACAGACACGCTTCCTTTACCTCCGTAGAATCTAAACAGGTTCCTTCACCTGACTAATGATAACTTATCTCGTAAAGTATATATTTATTCTGTTCACGGGTAGACACACACACACAAACATATAAACCCGGTCATTCATATTGCTTTACACTTCAAAAACCCTTCATTTTTTGTAGGTTAATCGAAAGAAACATTCCAAATGTGAATTAACATGTATTTTATTTATATTATATATATATATATATTAGTTATGGACAAACAAGCGGAATACAGCAGCTTAAAACAGGAAGTAATATGGACAATATGTATATATATTCAACATTCTTCGGCTGATGCAGATTATGTGACAGCAGAAATGCCCAAGATAGTGATGGCTATCAATCATACAAAGAACGAAGCTGTTGAAATACATCTTGAACTTCAGGGTGAGCTCCACAAATAAATTCATCTAGTTTATCAAGATACGGGACTAACTGGTCACAGTGCTGGAGAAAAAAGAAAACATTTGGAAAAAAGTTTTTTTTATTACTACGGTACACTTGAGGAACTCATGACTACTACTACTACTTATACATTATCACGAATAATTGACTTAGGAATCAGTACTCACATTACTTGTCAGAAGGGTATTTGTCTTAAAAACTTTTTTTTTACTCAAGCATTCTATTGAACTTCTAATGACAAAGAAAGAGTGCTGTGTCATCCCTATTCATCTACAAACTTGAGGCTTTATTTAATAGCTTCTCAAATGTCTTAGGATAGGACTAACTGGTCGAACGAACATCATCCACTATTCCATGCTTTATAACTGAGACATAAAGTTCTTTTGAAGGCTTTCAATGCATTCCTAGTGTATTATACAGGTAAACTCACGATTATTAACTTTATAATCTTAAACTCATCAACTGGAACAAATAGATAAGATTGGATGTATAACGGCGTAAAACTGAATACTATTGACTGATTGATTAAATGAGATGAGAAGTTGTATATACCACTCACATCATCCCACCTAGCAGTTTAAAAAACTCGATCGATAAGATATCAATGTGACCAAGTGACTTTTTTCAAACAAAAATGTCCACAAATTCAACTTACTTCAAGTACTACTTGGACTAAACGGCCTTTCAACCAAAACAAAATATTCCGTAATGCTTCTTCAGATAAGCCTGATGATGGATGAATTGCTTCCTGTGATTCTGTATCTGAAGGTATTGAAATATTCAGTGTAGACCCTGTTATTTCAGCTGCAACTTCAGCTGTGAGTCTAGCATGACGATGCAACAGCAGAGTTATAACAGCACACTGACTACGAACAGCTTCACATCTAGCTTCTTCTAACCGAGCTGCCCTACCGATTGTATTGTCACTACCTCCACCGTAGGTTTCATCATCAGATGAAGAAACCAACTCACATCCTGCCATCAATTTCCGTTTATCAGGATGCTTTCTTTGGTTTCCTAAAGCTAAGTCTCTTGGCTTTTTGAAAGATGGATCACGGTGGTCTCCGTTTCGTCTAAAGCTGTCAAGATACTTTTTTTGATCAGTGTTATCTTGATTGATGAGGAATGTGACGACTGTACAAGATTAAAAAGAAAAGAAAGAAAAGAAAAATTGTTTAAAGACTTGGAGTACAAGAAGCATCAAATTGAATTCTGAATGCCACAGTTAACGCATGTGGTATACATACTAGACTAGGTATTTTATTTTCTAGCTGACAAATAGGAACTCATTTTTGGTTGAATTTCTATGAACTTGTCAGTTGTATAAGTATCACCAACAGCCCGTTTATAATACAGACTCGTAAATGTAGAGATTTAAAACCTAAGGAATATTTACTGTTGTAAGATACAAAAAAAAAATTTATGACGACTAGAAAATAAGACTCAACAACTTACTTGATGCTTTTCTGCTTCTGGATTGTCTTTAGCCAATTTCAATCTACTAGTAATACGGGCTACACGCCTGCCAACACGAATAAGCGTACGACTTAGACATTCCCATACATAAAAGCTATATATAATAAAGATAAATACGTTATATAGAGGCTCTTGTATATGGAAAGAGAGACAACAAGAATATTAATCAAGTGGAATAGAAAATTGATACGATTTCACAAATGCAACTAGGATTGTCGCATGAAATGATGTTGATAATGTACTTCACGAAGTACCAAAAATTAAATCTGTCACACACACACACACACACACCTATTATCATTATTATTAGCCTCACAAGGGATAAAAATTTCTGCTTTCTTAGGCTTACTTAGTTTCTCTTTCATACTGTTAATACACAATGTAGAATGATTCTGTTTTTCAGTTCGTTGTATATACGTCCTATTTGTTTACTGAGGCAATTTGGAGACGAAATACAGGTTACTGCTTTAGAGTTATATTCAATCTATGACGAGTAACTATAGTAACTTGAATGTATACATTCTGTTAATTGAAAGGGTAATCAAAACCATTATAAGACACTCGACTGAAAAAATATATTGCTGAGATTAATAGAGGTTACCAGTGACATGTGATTAAAAAAAAACAAATGACATAGTATTTTCCCGTAAATATCCTAAATTTTAAATTGATCAAATGAACCAGAGTATTAATTATGCATAAGGGTTAATTTCAAATTGAAAACTCGGCGACAACCATTTAACATAACAGTGGATGAGTATGTGATCAACTGACTCCTTCTTCATGCCTTACAGAGGTCAGGTATATAAATATATATATATATAAGAGAAATCAATCGATGATGTAGTGTAGCTCTGTTGATGAGATGGTTAAGGGATACGTGCTACGCATGCCAAACCACTGCCATCCTCGCCTAGCAGTATTAAATGGCATAGGATTATATTGGAAGAGAGTTTGAGGTGACCAAATCAAAGCATTGGCAGCAAACCACCAGGTCAATGCTGGCTGGTCTGAATCATGGTAGGAAGGTGTAGACTGCTTGTCTGACACCTCCTGGATATTCTAAGAAATGATGGCTACAGAGACTGTTGGTGATACTGTTCAAAATCGTCCCCAATGGTGCAAACGTATTCACTATCCATGATATTTCAGGCATATTACATTGTCGCTATTATTACTAGTCTTTTTTCCATGCATTTCTGCCCATTATAGCTGTTTGAATTTTTCTCCCTATGTTTGTATGATATATGAAAAGAGTAACAAGTAAGACTGACGCAGTTTTGTGCTAAGTTCTACGTTGAAACTGATTCAGTTCCATTAATTTCCAGACCATAGATGTTACAAATTTCCTGGGATAATTTTACCGTCGAGTCAGATTGAATCACTGGGCTACCGAGGTTGCTTTCCACCAAAATGGCATCAATCCATGAAATCCTTGACAGTTAAACTGAGTCAGGCAGGGAGATGCAGACTCCCGGGTTGGGGCCCTCGGGACTCTAGGAATCAATGGCTGGAGACAGTAGGTGACATGGCTCAAAATCGTTGTCAATGGCCAGCGCAGATGTATTCAGTCCCTGTAATCTTTCATATTCCTTTCTACAATTACCCATTCTGTTTCACTCTTATATTTGTCAAACTCTATTGATTCTCTTCACTCATCTTCTTGTTTACCTTGTGTGCCAATTGGAACGTGGCAACTCGAACTGGTGCACTTCGGTGCCAAGTTCTATGTTGAATCCAGACAGAGACAGACAAAATGTTCCTTACGCTCATACCACAATTAGATATCGTGTCGACCCCCGAAATCCAGAGCATAGTTTGTCGTCATCACGGACCGGACCTAATGGACCTAGCTGAACACATGATCCAGTCCAGATACCAAAAGGAATACGTAAGCTTGCCCAGCCACGTGTCGGACACGGAATGTACCGTTGCAAATATAAACGGGACTCAGACTTAGAGGAGTTCAGTCTTAATCCCTCAGATGGTAGCTTCGCATCATTGGCCTTTTGACCAGGCACATATACCAACTGTCTGAACATGCAGTTCCTCTCGTACTAAAAAGGATTAACATAGCAACGGCTAGACTGTACTTCACTGATTACTGTACTCATTAGTAGGGTAAAGCTAACCTGTCTCACGATGGCACCACGATTATCCCTAAGTTCTTACTTCCTCTTCACACGATCTTTTCCATGCGACCCTAGATCGCTCAACTCGTCATTTTCCATTTACCTGGCGCGTGATGTCATTCAACAGTTAAAAAAGGCTTTTGGAGACTCGCTAAGTTTCTGTACCACGTAGAAGCAGTGACTGACTTGACATTAGTGTTGAAAATTTGGATGTTGTCCATTATGCAGAGCACAATGAATCCCTACACTGATATCAGATTAATGAAGGCCTATCTTGGCTTTGTTTTAACCCTCACTGACTGTGACATACGGATCCGTGCAGTCAATCCGTGGTTGACATAATGCTGCCTAGATAAGTAAAAGGGTTAACTCCCCTTAGAATTCTCCAATTGATGATGACTAGTGGTTGTTATTTTTTATTGTCTAGATATCCTCATCAGCTGTCTTTTTTATATATGTTCACGATGCCTCATCTACCACACTGTTAGTTCTCACGTGTAGATCTTTGATAAATCATTTATGAAGTTCACATCTTTTAGTGTCTTTTACATTCCCATAACAGCAGGGTTAATTTAGTTAAGGAGAAAACAAAAGTTCAGTTACCCACATCTTTCCAATAATAATATGACACATAATGTTAGGTCGAAATTCAAAAGGAAATGAAAGCAATGAGTCTGTTAAGCCAGTATCACAATATAAAAATTTTTTATATAAACACAACTAAAATAGTTGACAGAAGATCGGGTGACACAATGCTGTCTGACCTAAAGCACAAAAAACTCTACTATGATATTTCTTCTTCGCCCTCACCGAGAAGCGCACAACATTTAGTCCGGAGGTATAGTTTGAGATTCAATTCATGGATAATCCCCATCCAGGCATTAATGAAAACAAAACACGTAGATCAGCGAAGAGTCTCTTTTCGGCGAATTCATTTTCTTAGCTGTACAATCGCAAATATATATGCATTGTTTTGTATGTGTGTGTACATTAAGTTTGTCAAACAAAGTTACAATTGGTTAAGGTTACTTTTAACTAAACAAGTGGAGGATGGTAATACAGGTCAAGAAAATTAAGTGCTAATGAAACTAGGGTAGTAAAAAAATGATGAGTTGTCACAAACAGTTGTAATAATAATAGTGAGTTTTACTCAGGATGAACATAGAAACAAAGTAGATAATGCGAAACTATGTAAGAGATCTAAGTGGATACAAGAATTATAACATAACATAACATAACAATTTCGCTTTATTCCAGAAACAGTACTTGTGGTACAGTGTGGAATTTTCAGCACATATCTACAATATTGCATCTAATTTCATCGTACATTTAAAAGGAGTATTATAAAAACCAAACAAAAGAAACAGAAATAACCAAAAAAAATGCAAATAAAAATACTGAGTAAAAAAAAGAAGATCAACACAAATAATGAAAAAAAAATATTTCAGTATTAGTTAGTGGAAGCTACGATATGTGTATGCGTGGTGAACAGTAACAGCTATAATCATACGGGAAATTATGAGATGTTCTTAAAAAAAAATGTTTATAGCCAAGATGATCAGTTAATTTGATTGAACAACACTAAGCAATCATAAGATAAACATTTCAGGTTTGTTTTCTTTTTTGTCAGTACTAATGCGGTTGTTTGTAGTGGCAGTGTGAGGAATCATGCATAATACAAAATTTTTAAGATGGTGATAGTGGCAATAACAAACAAGATTGTCAGTTAAATAGTGCCGAACAAAGAACAACCACAAAACTAATGTTACATGATGGTTAATGACGGGACAATTTTTAATAATCATAGTGATAATATAGTCGGACCCAGTAGATGTACAAAGAAGGAATAGAATAAAGAATAAAAATGTAAGCCAATGATAATAATTTTAAGCAGCTAAGTATGTTTAAGAAGGTTGTTCACTATAGAGTACAAATAAGAGAGTGTAAGGGGAAAAAAACAAGGGCCAAAATTATGTTATTAACAACAAAGCAAGTCATAGGTTTCACGCCTAACATTGTCTCTGTCACTTAGAACACGGGCCAAATATGGTATCGTTGAGTTCCTATACTTGGTTGTGCGAGCATATATTATTTTATACTGATTTCTGGTTCTACCTGATGAGATGCAGGGAGAGAGTTGGGAATAGAGGGGGTGTTGGGGGTCAGAGAGTATGGTTTTAGACCATTTCTCACATGTATTCAGATGCTTATCCACTAATGTTGTGACGAGCTGACTGAGTTTTACACCGCTAGTCCTGCTAACTACCTTCAACATCCTTCTCAGGATGGTATAATCCTTTTTCAGTAACCCAGGAAAGACTAACGGGGAACAGTAAAGTAGAATAGGTAGGATACGAGAGTTGACAAATTGTGTAAGCAGAGGTTGAGGGACTCCAGTTAGTCTGAGTTTCTTAATGTAGTAGGTTAGACGAAACACTTTCTTGGAAATCATTTGGATATGAGATGACCAAGTAAGGTCGGAAGATATAACTAATCCGAGGTATTTTGCATTAGACTTTGTTTCAATTATAGTCCCCTCGATTCTACAGACATCATGAGTGCTTACTAGTGTTTGTAGATCTCGTTTATGCCTAAAGGAGAAGTCGACAGTCTGGCATTTTGAGGGATTCAGCGTTAGGCCATTTATTTTAGACCACTGACTGATGTCCGACAGGAAGCTATTTAATTTGAAGCAGTCTGACTGAGACTTAACGGGAAGCGAAACAGTCAGGTCATCTGCATATTTGACGAAGTTGATTTCGTCTGAGAGAGGTAAGTCATGTAAGAAGAAGGAAAAGAGAAACGGCGAGAGAACAGCACCCTGAGGAACACCAGCTTCAGTAAGCAAAGGAGAGGAAGCTACACCATTATATACCGTGTACTGCATCCTATTGGAGAAGTAAGAGTGCAGCCAGTTGATAGCCCAGGACTCAGTTTGTGTAAGGCTAAGCTTGTTTAACAAAAGGCCTCTAGGTACAGAGTCAAAAGCAGATGTGTAATCAAGGAAAGTACAACGGACATACTTGGCCCCTTTGTCTAAGGAGGATACAATGTTGTGATGAAACACAGCAGCAGCATCCAAAGTACTTCTACCCTGTTTGTAAGCAAACTGCTTTGGATCATTTGAGAAGCTTAGGGAGGGAATGAGTTTTTGTAAAAGTAATTTCTCCATCAGTTTCAAGAAAGGAGAGGTAATGGCAATTGGTCTAAACTTAACACTATCTCCAGAACCAGACTTGGGTACAGGGATGATTTTAATATCTTTCCACAGAGAAGGTACATTATTATTAGAAAAAGAAGTATTGAGAATGCTTGTAAGTGGGTTACTTAAAATATCAGCACATTTCTTTAAAACAATGGCAGGTATACCATCAGGGCCTAGACTCTGGGAAGGTTTAAGAGATTTCAAACATTTAAGAACATCAGAAGTATTGAAACGATGAAAGTCACTGGTCGTGTTATTAGTTAAATTGAAGGCAGAAAGGACATTTGGAGGGCGGATGAAAGATCTATAATTGCTTAAGGTTATTTTAACTAAACGGGTAAAGGTTGGTAATATAAGTCAAGACCATTAAGTGCTAGGGTAGTAACAAAGGTGATGAGTTGTCACAAACAGTTGTTAAAAGAAGTTATGCAATAATAATATGAATAGTTTCATGAGTGAGTTTTACTCAGGATGCACATAGAAACAAAGTAGATAATACGAAACTATGTAAGAGATTTAAGTGAATACAAGAATTATAAGCAATTAAGGAACAGGCGAAGAAACAAAATTAAGTCATCAAAATAAAATAAAAGCTCAAAACAAATCAAAACATTGTTACCATGAGAGTAGAAGTGGTTGAGTAATCTTCTTTTGTATGCACAGCTCCGGTTTTTCCATGTGAATGGCCAGAGCTTCAGCGATGCAAAGGAGACGAAACCGTATTGCCTTTGATAGGTTATTCTTGACTCTGTAGATTACTTTGAAGCAGGAGGCGTTTGTTGAAATGCAATGATCAGTGTTGACCAGGTGTTCAATTATCGCACTCCTCATTGCACCAGTATTGCCTTTTCGCAACCATGCTGGATAATGTTCTTGAATTTGGGACACAAGAACTCAGGAACAGTTCTCTCAAGATGTATTGGATGGGATGTGTTACTACCAACGATTAAGCTTTTTCTTAAGTTTTAGTAGAAACTAGAGAACTAAAGGGTTTTAAATATTTTAAATACTCGCGGGAGTAAAACAATATCACTAGATATCATATTTTAATAGATTAAAACAAACTGGTAGCCGAAGTTTTAACCAGGCTGCCACGGCTACAAAATGAATATAAAGTAAAAGCAGGCATCTCTTGAAGTTAATATTACCCCACCCTTCTGATTATAATTCATTATCCCCTGAGAGAAATACACACTTTCTTCTAATTGACTTACTCTAAAATTTTCGGACGAGCACTTGCTGAATTCATAATGACTGTATCATTGGTTAACGAAGTCATTATAGGTGAGTATGCCCAACGTACAACAGCTTCTGGATCAATTAAGCCAACCCGACACATATGCTCTGTAATAATGACAATCATTTGAGGATGATTTGCCCAAACTGCTTGAATTACATGTAAAGCTTCCACTTGAGTTTCAACACTAGATGTAAGAGTACGAATAACTGCAGCATACCTATATATATACATAAACATAGCAAAAGGAGAAAATATGATTCACTGACAAATATGTACACTAATCAGAGTTGAAGAGACTTTTTTGCAGTCTTATACTTTTATATGCTTAAATCATTAAGCTGGACTTCTGTCTCTTGGGTTGTAAACATCCACTAGATTCTCTTTATCACTAAGACAACAATAATAATAATTTTCAAGTAATAGTTTCGTAGGGATTTGGTTTGATCAGTTGAGGAGTCCCAAACTAGGACGAAACAGCTGTCTAGTACTCCCAGGTTTTCCAGTGGTTCTCTAACTGATGTCAGCTCATGATTAAATCCCCCATACAATAATAATAATAATAATCAATTAACATAAGATGTCACGTTTACTTTTGTTCTCCTAATTAACTATAACTGAGAATAATAATAATAAAGGAGGTACTGGAATAGTTTTTCCACAACAAAATACAAACCTCAAGTAATTAAAATATATAAAAATTTATTCATGTTTTACCATTTTAAATGATCAAAATTCACAGGAAAACTAACTTTCTTATGAATGCAAATGTATGACTAATTGTTTTATAACCAGCAATTAACAAAGCAGAATAAAATAATTCTATTGATAAGTTTGTTACACCAGGAGAAAGTTCAGTCATCATTCGAGATGTGATTATAGACAATGAAGATTTACTGTCAGCATCATTTTTTGTTTCCGACTCTCCAACATTACCACTATTATCATTATCACTGTTATTATTATTATTAGCATTTAATTTTCGCTTGATGGCACTTTCGCGTAAAACTCTCCTGCGTGCTTTAAGGCGTACACGCATATCTTGTTTACCAGGTTCATTTTCATCCAGGTCATCGAATTCTGGATCTAACAGAAGAATATCGTCTATTGGGCTCTTTCCACGACGTTCTTCGTCACTACGTATTGGTTCACTACTACTACTATTACTATTACTATCACTCGATTCATATCCACCTTCTTTTTCCTCAGCATCGCCATCATCATTCAGTTCTGAAAGTGATCGTTGTTTTCTGATATTTCGAGCGCTTTGTGCAATCTTTAGAATAGTTTGCGGATCAAGACGTGAGCGAATAGAATCGATAAGTCGTAGGAATATACGCGCAGACGGCAAATCTGTAATATACAAAAAGTGAAAATACCAGTCTTAATAAAAATACAATGAATAACAGCCACTACAAGCCCACAGACTGAACTACACAAAACTGCATCCATAGGAGACAATACTTATCACGAAGATGGATTTGACACTCCTAAGCATATGGGGGAGTGAGTTCAAAATAATCACATTACTGTGATAAGCAATTCACTAAAAAAAAGTATTGCACTTAAACTTCGATTTAAAGGGTGACACTGCGAGTGAGGTACTTAAGAATTGTTGAGAAAAACGTCGTTTACTATGACTTTTCGAATAACTCACTCTAGCTGCCCACTACTGGTGCACCTTAATGTCAAGGAGATGTTACCCCGATTGTATAATTCCATGTGTATTTATATGTTCATCTGCTCTTGCGGAGCTAGGTACATAGGACGTTGTTCGAGAGACCTATCCCGCCGCATTCGACAGCATCTCCCAGTTTGGCTGATCAAAGGAGGACGTAGGGGTATTAATTCGTCGATATTGCCAACATCATTATAGATACTGACCACCACGCAGCATCCGACACGTCGTTCAATATACTCTACAAAGTCCGACAAAGTTTGCCGAAAGGGATCCGAGTGCATTTGCTTTGTATACATAACATAAAGCCAGATCTTTGTGTACAAAATTAACTAGTGCGATCTCTTTCATTACTATGGTCTCGACTTTACTATGTAATTCGCCTAACAACGTTTTTTATCCTTCTTTATTCCGTGTTCCATTTTTATTTCATTTCATGTCATGATATTCTAACATTTTATCTAGTCTACTACTTTAACAGCATTTCACTCATCCTATGTTCCCATAGTATCATATTCACATTTCTGAATATACTTTATTTTCCGATCATCTCTTTCACACATGTCTATTGAACTTCAGGTAATTACTATGTTATTATTTTATTTAATTTCTTTACAGTCCCATTGGAACATAGGACGCCCTCAAGCTAGAGCTTTGAAGTTTTGGTAGCAGCGGTTTTCATTTTTTTATGGCCTAGCCTTATGCCCAACCGTCCCTCTTTACCAGTCTTATTACTAGCCTAGCGAGGTAAAGGAGTGAGTCGGTCGGGGGTCGAACCCCAGACCACATGCGTGGTCGGGAAGTACCGCTGTGCCACCGACATAAACGTTAAGTTATTCCCTCATATATATGATCAATTGTGACTCATAATCTTGTACACCAATATTTCAACTCACTGTCAAACTTTAACATACACACAAGAAAACTGATTACTATTGTAATTCAATATATATATATGATTGTACAGCTATGAAAATGAAATCGTAGAAAAGAGAATTTCCTTCGCCGAATTCTTCATGTTATTGTTATGCATAATTCTGCTTCTAATCAGAAATGCTACAGACCCTTGTAAACACATAGATAAGAAAATTGAAAGTAGGCGGATATATATTTCCTCAAAACTACGAGTGTAATTCATAGCACAGATAACAGAATTCACCATAAAGTCAAGGGAGTAGACAATCGTCTTCCGTATTGTAAGTTTATCAAACACAATTCTCACATAACTAACCCTTACAAACCAAACTATAATATATATATATTCTCGTAGGTTTCCGTCACTGTAAACCATGGGGACGTAGTTCCACTGACTTGTGAACCAGACTCCAAGTCGTAGGCTCTGGAAGTGGCGACATAAGAGAATCGCCCGCTTCGATCTAGCGTTCGTGAAGTATCCCAGGCCTTGCGCAAACTATGAAATTTTGTGCGATGCAGTATCTCTAGTCGCCCATCAAGTACCAAGTTTGTGGTTTATTTCTATATTAATAGCAGTTCCTAATTAGGTAAATAACTATACAACTGATGGAACTGTATCTATGCCGCACAAAACAGTTACCGTGCAGAGTAGCACATCTCGCTTAGCAAATAAATTTTTGAGTATGGACTGAAGTTGTAAGGAAAATACTTGAGTAAAAAAATTTACCATAAATAAACAGACACCAAGTGGTTATTTGTAGAAATGCTTAAATATATATGACTAAGTCACTTACCTGGATTTCTCTCGTACTTATTAATTACAGTAGGTTGAGGCGGTAAAAGGATGTGGAATGATCTTGGAATTTGGCGCTTTACATTTTCGTAATATGAAAAGCTGCAGTGAAATGGGATAAGATGTCACAAAGTTAACAAAGGCATACATACAAATGAATTGTGATGTGCGCAGAACATGAATTTAGATGTGAGACTTTCATTTATTACCTTAAGTTATAAACCTGTACTTGTAGCGGTATCTACGTTAGAAGAATAAAGAGGTTCGTTTCTAAGAGAACCTTGAGGAACGTGGTGGAAAGAATGCCATTCAGGAAACGCAACATCACCTAGCAATGTGCCATTCTCGATACAGACTGTGTCACCGATTACAAATATGGCTTTCCAGGGGGCCCGAAACGAGGACGTTTAGGTTACGAGATCAAGCTTGCTGACCATTCAACCAATTGGGACAGAATCCAATGACCTGTGAATTCTATCTTTGTCGATTCATGTCGAAGGCATTGGTTGGGCTGGTAGCGCTATATCACAATATTGATTAAGTCATAATTCAGAAGTCAGTAAATTCCGGTCCGAATGGCTGAATGGTCGAAGAGCTTAGTCTTGTAACCTGATGGTCCCGGATTCCGTCCCTAAGTGAGTCATCATGGATGCTGACGAGTCCCGAAACAGGAAGAAATAGCTGTTTAGTGCTCCTCTCTGGTTTCCAATGATCTCTCTAACTGATATTTGTTTATGACGAAAACCTAACAACTGAAATCAATCCAAATCCTGTATTCTAGTAAAAGGAATTGAAACCCAGCAACAAAATTGTTGTTTTCGGCTTTGCAGTAGGAAAAATTTATAGAGAGGAAACTAACTGTGTAAAATAGAACAATCATGGATATTTTCTTCAAGCTGATTTGATAAAAGAGCTTGTAATAACGGTTTTGATATGTGTATACAATTTACCTATTTGATACATTTCAGTCGTTCTCAACAAAAGGTTACATAACTTCTGTTTTTACACCAAACCACAGTTGACACACAGTAAGACATCACACAAATGAGAGTATCTCTGATGGGAAGTGATTGATTACTAATGCTGCCTTAGTATCTGCAGCGTCTACCTTCATAAAATGTACACATACAAGCAGACACACACACACACAATGTCTGTCATATATCATTGAGTAGACGAATATTCTTTTTCCAAATACAAAAGAAACTGAGAACACTCACTCACCGTATCAATCTACACAAAATCTCTGTGATTACACGTCTTTGAGGGGACATAGGCTCTTGAGTGAGCGATGATGACCAAGATTCCCAACTCCAATGTAGAGAGCAATTACTCAGATGATACGAAACCCATTCAATAAATCTTAAAAATGGAAAATTGTTACAAAAGTGTATTGCATAATTGATAATTAAGATTCTTTTAATAGATAAATATGCTGAGTAACAGTTGCTTGTGATATCACACCTAGATGCAGGTGACTGAGGTACAAATGGATGTGACAAGACCTTACGCCAATATCTCAATAGTTAAGAACAATTAAGCCGAGCGGTTGAAGGTCTGTGAAAGAAATTAAAACACATTTTGAGAATAAAATAAACCAAAGAATGGTCATACTCTATATATGTGTGTGTGAAGATCTCTAAAAGCTGACTTGTTGCGATGTCTTCACAGTTTACGAATTTATTGGACCAGTTTTTTTTACTTGTTACGAGTGAGTGATGCATCTATAAGACTGGAAAAAAACGAAACATACATACCTACATACATACATAAACTCATATTGTACTTAGTACGTATGGTTCTGCTAAGAAGGTGCACGGATTAGAACCTGAATAACAGGCAATTTTTGGTCACCTTAAGAAGAAAATTAATGCTTGTATTTTTTGACTTTTATAAACCTACATAGAGAGGAACAAATATATTATTATTATTACCTATGCACACGATTTTCCCTAATGTCATCCGCGGACTCATGTCCGACTCGCCGTCCCCCCTCCCACACTTCACTTGGGCTCCACTAGAGGGCTTGGTATATGATATCACTAAACGTCCTCCTCAGCGTATGTCTAACTTATCTTCATTTTCTTCTGTGTATTTGTTGGGCAACAGGTTCTTGGTTGGTTCGTTCCTAAAGCTGCTTGTTGCCTATGCCTTCGGTCCAGCCATCTGATTCTTAGTATTGAGACAGGAGGCAGATGTTTTGCACTATGCTATTCGAAATGCTTTCCGTCAAGCACTAAGTCTCTGAACCACATAAAAGCACTTATTTGACGTTAATTTTGTCCCTTAAGCTGAGTGGAGATTTCTACACCAATTTCAGAGTAATATAGGCCTGTCTTGTTTTTCTCCGACCCTGGCTGGCTATGCCATCCCCATCCGCGCCGCCTGACTAACTGAAAGAATGCTGCTCGGGTAAGTGAAAGAGTCGACCTCCTTTAGATTTTTCTTTTCCATGTAGATTGATGCCTGTTGTAGCTGTTGTTGGTTGGATTTTCTCATTACCTTTGTCTTCTCTATGCTCACCTGAAGTCCTGTCTACTTTGTCTCTTCTGGCAACTTATTAGTTTCCACCTGTTGATCATCGAGTAGGGGCTTGTGCACTAGTCTTCAACTAATCAAATATCCACTTGTCTAAACTAAAGTGGAATGAGATTCAGGACTGGGGCAGGTTAAGTTGTAGAAGCTACTAAGCGACAATGATTCTTGTTTAACTCTCAGGAGAAAATATTAGTGCAGAATCAACGAGTATGTCATAATATGATTGGGAAAGAAGAAGTATGTCAATATTAGGTTGAAATTCAACGAACACCACAAGCTGAATGTATTACAGACACACATCAAATCCGTTGACAATCAAAATTACGAAAAATTACCGTGTAAATTATGAAGCTCCAATTTCAAAAATCATCATCATCATCTTACCTTCCAATACACACAGGTTTCATGGTTTCTAAACGTTCAAAGAGAAGTACAATTGCTTGAATTAGCACCATGGGGATGGTATTACGCGCCTCATGGCATAACTGTATCAACAAACTCCCATAGAAGAGAAGATGACCATGCTGGATTGGTGGATGAGGTAGATTAAACATTCCGGCAAACACAGCTTCAATGATCATGTAATTTAGAGCTACATTAGCCCTAGTTTTAAGTCCTAGTAGGGCTTTAGCACTAAAAATAAAAGATTTCAATAATACTGTAATAAGCATGCGCTAAATACATAAAACAATTATAGTTTCAAGATGGATATGAAGAACAGAAATCTAAGCAAATGATTTTCTGCATAAGTACAATTATAATAATAGCAATGCTAATTATAGTCTTATTGACTGAGTAACAAATAAAAAATGTGCAGAATATTTAAACCATCTGTAGATTTAACCGAATACAATGAATGCCTTGTCGAACTTTCATATCACCACAATGTTAGCTTGAATAATTATTCTCTGACGTCAAACGAAGAGTTACAAGACTGAAAGTGTATGTGTCATCGTAGTGCCAACATTTTGAATGGTGATAATCTGAGATAGCTGTGTGTGTGTGTGTGTGTCTGTGGCAGAAAAGGTGTCTTTTTCAGGCATCATCGACCATTCCATTCTAACAACCGCCTTCTCACTCAGTGAAAAAGTAATTAGAAGAAAGGTTTGTTTGTCTTAGAAGCTGTACAATATGTCAGCAGCTAGGTTTTCTGGGTATTGGGGGACAACTTTCCAAAACCTAGCAGTGTTTCATAGAACTAAGGCGGACTACTTTTGGGATGAAAAATGAAAAGAAGTCTTCATCATTATGCTTAAGGAAAGCAACTTATGGTGTGGACAGAGAGGAACAAAACAGTAGTTAATCATAGACACTAAACAATATAAGAAACTATCATCATATTGTCAACTATCTTTACCTTTGTTCCTTCCTTTGCACCTACTACATTTATGTAGTTTTATTTATAAATTACATGAATTCTGATTTACTACGGGTACCTAGAGTAGCGGTACACAACCTACAACAAACACATTTACAAACATAAACTTTTTATTTTAATTTCATTCCTTCTGCGTTCCGAGTAGAACACAGAGCTTCAAACTTGAACTTTGAAGTCACAGTAGCATTCGTATTTTTTACAGGGTGAAGTTGCTGGTCTCACACGCCCAACCTCCCTTCTCTGTCCGGCTTACAACCGGTTAAGGGATGTGAAGGTGTGCGCCGGCCGGGAATCGAACCCCGGACTACGCGCACTCTTGGCGAGCGTTCTACCGCTGAGCCACCGAAGCACAGATACATACATAGCAAAAATTTAATTCTTTTTCAGTTTGTTAATGTCTAACAATACATAATGAAGAAATGCACATTTCGAATGTGCAAGATATTGTGCATTTCGTATTTATCGCTCTGAAAAACCATGCACAACACTTTCACAAAATTAAGTAGTGTTACACTACACTGAATTACACCTAGAAGAACATTTGAAGGAGTGGTTTTGCAATCGTCATATTTATGTTTGATATTTCTACTTTAGCCGGTACAGTACATACTCTAACTTATGGTACAATTAACTAATCACGAGTATTTATAAAATTAATTGATGCATACCACACAGCGCTATCAAGTAGTAATAAAGGCTGCTTGACATACCACATAGATCTGTTGAAACTTAAATTATTCATTAAAATAGCCAAATGTTCACCGATAAGAAAACGCTCAATTGTATGGGCACCAGGAAGGACAGGAACTTTTACTCCGAATTTGGCAGGATCTGAAGACGTTTCGGAGCTAGGCATCACTTCAGTGTCATCCGGATCTATTACATCTGTATAATCAAATATTCGAAACACAACAGAAGGAAGAGGATAGGTAACCTCTGCAGCATATTCTGGAGGTGGCAGCTAAAAAAGAAAGGCAAAAGCAGAAAAGAAGGAAGTTTAACAAAGTTTACACTCTTTTGACAATCCTAAAAAACATGCCTAAATGACTTGAAATTTCCACTTACAGGTGCCAACTTATGAGGTCGACCGTGTTCTCTTAGACTTGGAAAAGAATCATATAACCGCCAAGTGACTTTCTCCACCCAACCTTCCTTTCGAAGATTGCATATTTGAGCCCACAAACAATCCAGATACTAAAAGAGAGAGAAAAAAAGGAAAGTAGAAGTGAACTTCAAGTTGTCAATAAAATGCATAAAATTACTTATTTCTAACATCAACAGACACAGTTTCAGATAATGAGAATAAAAGAAACCAGAGTTTGAACAAAGTGTGGTAAAATCAATAAAAATGGAGGGATAAAGATTGAATTTTAACTTACTGTCATTACAGAAGCTACGGAACTAGACGGTGTAGTTCAGTGATAAATTCATCTATAATGCTAATACGGATCATTACTTCTTTACAACACTAAAGGGAACATTCCACTCATTATAAAAGCTGTCCATGGACTACATGACCTAGTTATATATGATTGGTCATTAGTATGTACTTTTGTTTTTTTTTATTTAGCTGAGTAATTGTCATGAACTATATTTTGCAATTGATAGTGTTCTCTGAGCTCCTTGGTTTAATTGCGGAGCTTTCATCGTCCTTCTGGACGACATCTTCAGCGCAGTATTTAGGATAAAGTGAAATGATTTATATTATTGTTAACCATGTTAGTTGCAAAGCGGTTGTAAAGAAACTACGAAATAACGATATCATCTCGCGAAATTTGATTTCTTAATGTCTTATTCAAATTTATCAAAGGGACTAATTGTTTTAACCTTTTAGTTGTTTTTTTTTTCTCTGATTCAACCAAACCGATCAATCGTTCGCACATATGCATGCATATCCAAAACCTCATTATTCGTATGTGTGTGCCTATCACATTAAAATATAACTTTTTACTGAGAGGTTTTTTTCTTATCCTTATGAAAAGAGCATGCAAAACTTAAAACTTGCTTACATCTTCTTGTGGATGCGGGTCATCTGACTCCCATACGCGTAACAAAGACACATGCGAACGCTGTCTTTTCCTGAAATAAAAATATAAAAAGATCACACAGTAATTGAATTCAGTTTTGAGAGCTCTCATATGATATGATGACCAGACACTCACAGTCTCTACCAAGTATAGATTCAATCCACTGCCTGTCTCCATGTGGCGTGTATGTTTTCACAAAAGTGAAAGTGTTGTGGATTTCATTGACTGATAAAGCCATGTTTTGGTTTGACCACCAGTGGTTTTTTCCCAACCTGACACTATGTCATCCAACACTGCCCGTCGAGGAAGGCGATGGCTAGGCATGCGTAACACATGTCCTAACCATCTCAATCGAAGTGACTTCACAGCTTCGTCCATTTCCCCTCCTTACCTTACCTAGCACTCGATTGATGCCTCACCTTAATATTGCTTACTCTACTATACCACTTCACATCGGAAATAGAAAGCAGGCACCTGTGATCAAAGATAGTTAGCCAACCTTTTCATGTCTTCCACTCTCAGCGTCAGCGTCTTCACCTAGAAGGACTAAATCACCTGTATTTTCTAAGCCAACCAGATTATTCCCTGGTGGTAACAAATCAATCCTTGAGTCTCTGAAGTGACTTATGCTAAGTCCATTAGTACATCTTTGATAAAATTGAGTAGAAATGGGGATAATGGGCATCCCTAACGGACACCACTTGTCGTCACCACAGTTATCAGATGACAACTCACCGTAAGCTCTCACCTGGCTGACTACATGAGTTCGACTAGAAAGCCTTGATCAGTGAAACGTATTTCCTCGGCATCCCTCTCACAGCCAAACATTGCCAGAGTACCTCTCGGTCGACCAACTCGAATGCTGCCTTCAGGTCAAGAAATATAACGATTGTTGGAGGTCGGTAAGTATGCGTATGTCCCGTTACAGAATCTGTCGAAGGGTGAAGATATGATCAATACATCCTCTTCCTGATCTAAAGCCTCCCTGCTTCTCTCGTGTTTGTTCATCCTGTGGACCACTTAGTCTACGCATGATTATCGAGTCTTGAACTTTAGATACCATCTTAGTCAAGCTAATCCCTATGTGATTATCACAGGAAAACTTGTCTCCCTTCTTGTATATGGGGGTAATCACTGATTTACTCCAACCTGATGGGACTTCCTCTGATTCCCAGACGTTGCGTAGTATCTTAGTTAACGCAGACAGTAAACTGTCTCTACCGTACTTAAATGCTTCTGGAGTCATTCCATCAGGTCCTGCTGCTTTGCCCCGTTTCAGACTACTGACAGCTTTTGTAACCTCAGTTAGGGATGGAGGAACTGTGTCTATATCCCATTCACGGAGGCGTTGGATGCAGGTCAAGTTGCGCGTGGCTGTAGGCTAATTGAATTGCCCCTCAAAATGTTCCTTCCAACCTTCCAGTTATCTATCCTGGGAGCTAATTATGGTGCCATTTTTCTCAGAGATTGTTTTATTTATCGTTTGCCTTTTACCACCTGTTTCCCTGATAAGTCTAAGTAGTTGTCTGGTGTTACCAATCGCCGATACCTTTTCCATCTCATTCGCTTTTGTCGCCCGCCACTGTTCGCGGTCGTTACGGAGACTTCTTGGTAGTTTTCGTTTGAGTGCTTTCGCTCCTCCTCATATCGGAGCTCGCTGGAATCCTTCTTCTTGAGTCAATAAGTTCGGGTGAGGTGGTAGAAATCCAATGGCTCTTACTAACTTTCGGTTTTATGTTATTAACAGCCTTTAAAGCTGTGCCTACAGCCATATGTATATTGTGCGAGGCTTCCTCGTGATAAGTCCTGCTGTCGACCTCAGTACTCGTTTCGCTATTTCTTAAGTAGGGACTCAGAGTCTCGATATAGTTGGGGACGCAGCTGCTTCGCTGCCAACAATGTCTTATGTCCGTTTAGACGTAAGCGTAAAAGTGTGAGGACCAGAGCATGATAGGAGTCTACGCACGTGTTCCAGAAGGAGTTCACAAGCTGATCCAAACAGCACGAAAGTTAGGTCTGAAAAGGCTCGCTAGCGATGTTCGCTGTATCTTAGACTCGCGCTCCATATCCAAGTGAAGTGATTCGAATATCTTCCCAATCTGCAATTCCAAATGGTGTACCCACTGCCTTATCCAGCGACCAAGTGGTGTTGGGATCCGGCTTATCTGATATCGGTGTGGCACTAGGCGCTATATCCGAAACTGCATAACCCAACTGGATCCTCGTTGACAGCATTTTGTACTGTGAGGCTGTTATACACAGTGAAAGACAACCAGTCTATTTGTCACCTCTACCTATGCACCGATGGACTGAAGATCGAATACAATTAAGGAGTTCTACTTTCAATTAGGTGAACTTCTGAAGCAGAGGAGTCAGGAAAATATCATAGTACCAGTCGGAAACTTCAATTCTAAGGTCGGGCAACTAGACCTAGAGGAGAGTCGTCTGGGTGATCAATAGGCACTATATGATCGCAAGCCAGATTATCGGGACCATCTTCTGAAGCCTTGCGCGGATCGTTGCCATAGTGCTACCTGGCGTTCTCCCTCCACCACTTAAGTCTGGACTCGAATGGCATGGGGAAATGCAGAATGTCCATCTCTTCTGGAACACGTGCGTGTATTTCGACTATGTTATGGTATGTGCAAGGTCCATCTTGCGATTTGATGGTGATCATAAACATCGTCCTTGACAGGTTGGTGTAAGTAAACTGGTAGTACCTGCTGCTTCTGCGAAGTACCAAATTGAACCCAATTCAAGGATAGCTGATAACCCCATAAATAGTATACGTGAACACTGGATACACCTGCAAGACGTTTTGAAAATGGTAATTATAGCTGCTTGCTCTTAAAAGAAAGTTTTGCTAATAACTACTAGGTTTCTGAGAATTTCTGGCAACTCCTGAAGGCCCATCGACTCATCCCTGTGGATAGGGAGTGTAACAACATATACAAGGCTACCACATATAAGATCAAACAGTCCATATGTAAGGACCACGAAGCCTGGTGGTCATGAAGTGAGTGTCAGACGAAATCAGCAGCTGCATCTGACAATAACCGGAAGCTGTCCCAGCGACCGGTAGCAATAAGCATTATCTCAGCGAAACGGTCTGTGAGGCAGGTGGTAAGACAACAAACGGAAAGAATCCTGGGATGCTGAGTATAGCAATTCGAAAGGCGGTTTCAGCTGACCAACAGTGCAAATATCCAACGACTACCATCATGAGCAATCAGTACCTTCTCACCGAAAGAAGCAAAGATCTTAAAGGAATCCCAAGCACTGAAATGCTATGTAGCACCCAACCCAAACAGTCTACCCCGGTTGGTGGTGAAACTCCAGTCACGGAGCTGGTTCGTTCAGGAAGGTATGGGGAAATGAGAATGTTTCATCAATGTAGAATGAAGTCGTTATTGTGCCTATCTTCAAAAGAGACCTAAGTAATGCATGTGACTCATGGAGATATTTGTTTCCTATAAGTTGAATCTAAAATAATGGTTGCTGACATGTTGCATGGGTTGCCCAAAGCACATGAGATTGATTCGCGGAGAGCAGGCTGGGTCTCGTTCAACTTATGGATACCTTGATCATTCTAGAGGGTGTACGTGGTATGGCAGTGTACATCTGTTTCCTGGAGCCTTTTCTGCCTCAAGTATGTGAACGATGAAGTCTTACTAAGAGGTTGCCCAAATTGCAATCAGTATAGTATGTGCTTTGAGCCGTCCAAGTGCTATAATAGAAAAGTACACGAAGTGGAGTGGAATGGTGTTGACTGAATCAGTTATTATCCTTTAAGTTTAATCTTCAGGACACTTTTCAGATAGTTTTGAAGAACAATCGTGTCGCTGTATTCTAATGGTTATCATGAAAATCAAAGTCAGCTACACCCAATACAGATTCCTCCATAAATGTACGAAATGCATACTCCACGACAATATTTTCAGCTGTCATAAGGGTAAAACTGGGGGTATTAAAGAAAGTTAACTAATAAATGGCAATTACAAATTATCAAATGTAAAAATAAATCGAATACTATTTTTATGATGTGAATGACTTACTCAATATAAGCTTCAATAGTACCCAGAGTCTCATTAAACGCCGAAGGATTATGAGCAGCTAGCATGTGGCCACTCTGAAAAAGTAGACAAATGAATTGTTTTACATGTAAATAGATTTAAAATTACGGATTATTATATCAAACATTATACACCTTAAATTCCATGCAGAGAGTATTTTATCTCAGCAGTAATTCGCGTAGTGGTAATACAATTAACTACAGGACTCACATTTGACATATTGCAGAATTGTTAACTCATCATTTTAGTTTTCTCAGTACTTACTTAGCAAGCTTTGCCATCACATCAGAGAAGTCTTTACAACAGAATCTTAGAACACATATCTTTGAGGAAAAGGAACACTATCAGTGGTGAACACCATGGGTAAAAGATTCAATAATACATCGATATACAATGTATATCGATGTATACTGTCACCATTTCCGTGTGCATACATATGCTAACCATGGATAAAAATAATCATATAGAGAGTGCATTCACCTGACTACTGCTCACTAAATTCGTGAACTGATTGTTGGCTTCATATTTTCACCTTATAATGAACTCGATACCATAAGCTACCTTTAGAATCCATTTCTACTTTCGTTGGCTTTCTAGTCGAGTACAGCGATTAAATTACTCGACCACTGTATTCATCATCGTTAAACTAGAATTTGGATCTAACCTGTCCCATAACGGTACTTTATAGGTGACAGGGGGAACATTAAGTATAATTAGATTTCTCCTTGGAGGATATGGATGTTGCACTTTATCCAGGACTGTCCTCAATAGAACTATGCCATTTCTATACTACAGCATACACATTAACCAGTCTCTTTGCTGACTAAAAGCCAACTTATGACAGCTTGAGATGACTCGTTTTCATAGGCTTCGACAGAAATGAATGAATCCGTGTCCTGATCGACGTCAGGATCTTTGTCAATTATTCTCTGCATATCTAATGATAAAAGAAATTATATGCTGTCTTCAAGTCCTGACGTCACCATTGGGTGAATAAATAATCACTGCATTATTATTCTGCTCCCTCTAAAGAGAGATAAAAGACTTCTTTAAAATAAGTACATAAGCATGTCAGACTTTACAAGCTACTGGTGGTACTAAAGTGATATCTGATGTGAACTTTCTCGAAATATAATTCTACAATCAGAAATGTCATGGTTGCCTGAAAACACTACGTAGGGACCTTCACCTAACCTTCACATGATGGAAGCTATACAGTGAAGTTATCTTTAGAAACTATAAACGCTTAAATACCGATGTGAATGTATCGCGGGGACCTGAAGAGAATGAGAACAGAACGAAACCTAGATGTTTGATAATCAGGAAGAATGTTCTTTGTGATGTTTTTGCTCTAGTAATACTGACAGAAGGGAGTAACATGATCTTATAGTATTTGAAACGAAATTTTGGTTACGTAACCCATGCAGTGTTGAGTGTCAAACTGGAGCACACTGACTTATAACCACTAGTTGACGAGTTTCAACTTCATTCAAATCAACTAAATTTGGGCGAGTAGGACGCATTATCATCTCTTACACAGTAGATGTGACTTATTGTCAAGAATATAATGATTAACATTTGTTTAAACGTGTCCTCTCAAAATAGGCAACTTGGATTAACGGAAAAGAAACAGCGACTGGAAAACTGACTAACGGAAACAACTAACATAGTCAAGTCTTCACGATAATCCTTCAACTGTTTCAAATATACCTTACTGGCAACTACCTTCCCTATTTTACTGCACAAGAGTTCAGGTACGTAAGACGAAATTATTCCCGCTGGTAGTACCACTACACAAATAAAATCATTAAGTGGGAACGACTAAGTATGGTAAGTAGTAAATGATTTTCTAAGAAACACCGTCGACTTCAGTTTAAGCAAAATACAATGATCTTGAAAGTATAAGTAACTACTAAACTGTGAGACTCAGAGCTCGAATTTGACACAATTATAAAGTGAAAAAGAAACCATTAGGTATGACGTTTACTGATAACCAAGCTGCTTTGCGATGAGCGAAAGCAGAAGATGCGTTCTTGAACCCCGATCTAATTGGGAACACCGGTCATTAAAGCATCTACTGTGAAACCTCGGATGCAGGTTTATGAGAACCTAGATCATACTTTCACAAGTGGGAGACGACAACCGGTTAGGTGATGCAACTTTGGCCTCATGAGTATCAGTGGAAAAAGAGCAATGATGAATGACAACATATCTGGCTATTTAAACCATTTACGTATTTATCACGGGTAGCAAAATATTTCGGATAATTAACCGAGGCAGCAAGGCTAGATGTATTTAAACTACGTTTCTCTGGGAATTTACATAATTAAAAGAGGAGTCAGTCGCTCATGTGTTGCATACCGTATTTGTACCATACCAAAATGAACAAAATCTGAATGGCAATTCAAGATAAACTTATAAAAAGCTAAGTAATACACGGACATGTGCAGAGCAAATGAACAAAACACTACAAACAGATTAAGTATACCAAGCAGCAAAACGTATTTGAGTGGAAATGAATTGCTTACATATGGGAGACCATATAATATCATGTATATGTACCAGTCAATTCGGGCCTGTGAATTGCATTCAGTATCCGATGTAACCTCCGCAAAACTTTCATAAAGACGCAAAACAGACCCCTTGTGAACACTGAAGCAATTAACGGACACTGACAAAAACAGCAACTAAAAGAGCAATATATCAGCAATTTTGACCGTACAATGTATTTTGCATCTTCAAAACTAGCTGATCTTATAGCGTCCCGGAGATCACGCTGCAGCAGCTCTATAAGCTGAAAAATAATGTTTCGAGACAGCCATTAACTCACCTGACCAACGAAGGCTCGGTTTTTTAGATTTAGCAATCCAACTAATGTTGCGAATATCAATATGCGCTCTGGAATATTTTTTACGCTACAAATATTACAGACAAGAAATAAGTTACCAATTGCACAAGACTTTCAAGAGCCTGTCTCCATTCTTCGGGACATCCGCCAAGATAACTGATGCGAGATCAGCTATATCTTTCTCAATGTAAGAAAATTCCTGAAAAAATTTGCAAAAGTATACAGATCTTACCTTGAATCCAAGCCGGTATATCAGAGACTCGACTGTCTCTGGATCAGCCTTTTCTCGTTTTGCTCTTAATTCTAAACAAGTAGAGTTAAGAGCTCAAAAGTATCTCACGCACCAATCTCTTCAAACGAATCAGAACGCCTCCTTCGTCGCATTTTTTTCAACTCCCGCTAGTGATGAATGCTTCAATGCACTTCAGCCACAACAAAGTGCATGTAAATAGAAAATTTTCTAGCATTCACACATTTATTTTTATTTAATGTGGCCGTTTGTTCTGAGTTTCTTTGTCAACGTTTATCTAAACCTATGAAAAAAGTCTACATTTGAGCTACGTAGTATCGGCTTACAGAAGGGATATTAGTGAACTCAGTCGAAAATTGCATGTACGCAAGCACCCTATGGACCGGAGAAAAGCAAAAACTAGCACTGTGACGAAATGTAACAGGTCTGTTTTGTTTTACCGGTTCCCTTCATTTGCATTAAACCCATTGCATTTGACACCTTTAGTGTTGAAACATTTTAGCTTGCTTCAGTCTAAATTCAGATTCGGATTTCAGATTTATTGGTTCTGTTTTTTAGTACAGCTTGATTCCACACCGTATTTTTGGTACAAGCGTGGAATTTTCAGCATGGATGTCTGTAGCCCAAATTCTGCAGGCCGACCATTGATATCATGTGTGCGTCTGCAGATGATCGAACCCCGGACCATCTGCATGGTCGGCGAGAGTTCTAACGACTGTGCCACCGACGTTGAGGATAAAAGGCTTGTAACCTATGTTAATCCTTCTCTAGTAAATTTCTGTGGTTGTCCAAACCCTTCTGAATGAATCAGTTGAGGTTGCAGACACCACTTCTTCTAGGAGTTGGTTCCAATAGTTTTTGACTCGGTGTGAGAACCAGTACTCAACATCAGTATGATTTCTTCTTGGCTTTTGAACTCCCCTGCTATGTCCTCCAAGGCGTTCCGACCTGGTGGGAAGGAAAAAACAGAATAGGTCAGGTCCGTAGTCATTATTTGAAATTTAAAACGTTGTGATTAAATTTCCTCTCTGCCTGTGGTATGACAGGGAGAAGAGATTGAAACTGTCTAGTCTTTCCTCGTATGATAAGTTAGTCATGCCTAGAACCAAACGTGCTGCCCTCCTCTGAACCCTTTCTAAAATGTGTGGGTCCCGTTTTAGACAAAAACTGGTTGACTGGATACAGTTTTCCAGTCTCTACCTCACCAGAGATGCGTATAAGGAGGTGAACATATCTCAGGTGATCGTGGTCAGAGGGCCGACTATTTGAGCTAAAAGCTCTTTGAGAAACCTTGGATAGAGATTATCAGGACCCATTGATTTCCCTGCATCTAATTTCATTTGGAAGTTGAGCGCGATGCCTTCGTCGATGTCAACGGAATCCATCCTGTATTCCTCTGATGTAGCCAGAGCTGATCCTTTAGGGAGTGATGACTTCTGAGTGTAGACATAGGAGAAGTAGTCTGCCATTGCTTCTGCTTTTTCTTGATCTTCTTTGATTATAGCATTATCAATAGTCAGGTTTGGGACACTAATGGATTTTTTCTTAGTTTGTATCATTGCAGTTTTAGTCAGATGTACTTCGAACTTCATCCTTGATCAGCGGATTTCTGCAATAGCTTTATTTCTAGCAGTGTTATATGATTTCCTGGTCTCAGAAGTCTCAGATGTGGAAAACAGGTTCCAACATTTGTGTTTACGTCTGAGTAACTTACGGATCCCTCGCTTTATCTAAGTGGGGCAATGTTTCCGACCCTCTGGTACAGACCAAGGGATAAAAGGTTCAGTTACTTCGGCATAAAGTTGTTTAAATTCGTTCCATGCGGCTTCTAATTGGGACTCTGGGTTGATGTACCAGTTTACTGAGTTGGCTACTAAGACGATCGCATTTATATCAGCTAACCAAACGTTTAGTCGAGCTGGGGTTTTGGCCCTTGCTGCCGTTGCTATGAAATTGAAAGTGAGCACAGCATGGTCATTTCTTCCTAACGGAGGACAACACTAGGTCCAGAGTTGAGGAGGAGTGCTGTGAGTCATAGCGCGTGGGCTTAATGGTGTGTTGGACTAGGGCTAGCGATATACTAGATTCCAGCAGTTTATGATCAAAGGAGTTGACTGAAGATGGTGTTGTAAGGCTCGTCCAGCCAACTGTTGGGGCGTTGAAGTCACCGACTACGAGACTTCGACATTTCGAAGTCCAGGAGCCTAGCTTCTCCATTAGGAAGTCATCTGCACTGCAGTCAGGACTATGGTAAACAGCAACTGGGTCAATGTATCGGCCTATGCATTTACGTCTGCAACGTAGAAGTTCGCACGACTCCTGTCAATGTAGTTGAAGATTAAAGAACCCATTCACGATTCTTTGCTCAAACCCAACTTCCCCATAATTTTCGTGGGTGACCAATCTGCCTGTCATCGTCTCATCGGTCGCTGTTCAGAAAGAAGCTGTAAAAAACTGTCAGAAGTAATATCGTGATTTATTGTAGTAATATTTGTTCCTTAGTCTGTAATGCTGACAATGCTGGTTATATGTTGGTGGTGATATTGGCCACCGCGTCGAAACTTGATGAACCACCGGCAGAAGGATCCTTGAACTGGGTAGGACCGTTGGATACCGCGACCGAAATGCTCATGCTGGATTTAATGGCGTCCACAGCTCTGTTGTTTGCCTCAGCTAATTCCAGCAAGTCAGAGTTGTGAAACGGGGCTAAAATACCCTGAACTGACTGGGGCAACCGTTGCAACCAAACCTGCTTCAAGAAGGCGCCAACCATTTCGAAATCAGCAACTAGCTGTTTCATTTGCCGTCGCGTTTGCGTGCGCCCACGGTGGCCAAGCTGGACGTCACGAAAGAGCTCCCGCACTTTCCATTGATCAGTTAGTGCAACCATCCTAATTAGCGCAACTTTGAAGCGTTCGTACAGGTTTGGAGACGGTTCCTCTAGAACGCCAGACACTTCCTCTATGATGCTCTCGATGAGGCTCACAATAACCAGGTTGTCAATGTAGTTGAAGATTGAACGATCAATTCATGGTTGTTTGCTCAAAATCAACTTCCCCAATTTTCGCGGAGGCATCAATACGACAGTCATCGTCTCATCGGTCGCTGTTCAGAAAGAAGAGTAAAAAACCGTCAGAAGCAATATTGTGATTTATTATTGTAAAATTGGTTCATAGACCTTAGTCTAAAGCTTAATTTTAAAGTTGGCTATATGTTGGTGTTACAATAAAGAATTCTCGAGTGGCCAATCGGTGTTTTGGTTTTTGCGTCCGTTATTACTAAGCGTTTCTGAGAAACTTCAAGGAACAGCGTGAGTCCCAGCGTAGCAAGAGCTGGTCATTGACGGTTTACGAGACGTGGCTGACAGTTTCTGATGGTAGAAACAGATTCTGGCGGATTCAGATAGTTGGTGAAAGTTTGGATAGTCACCGTTCATCTTTCCTGGTGACAGTCAAGTCCTCTTTGAACAAGCAATATCTGGAACGTTTTTGGAATTGGGTCAAGTTCAACAATGCATGGGTCAAAGAAGGGACAGAGTGTCTTGGATGCAAACAGAAAAGTAAGTCATGGTGACTTGTCTCTTAATTGTAACGATGTGTCTGATGTTAAGCATGACATGATTGATGTTACTGTTTCGCCATTCAGAGATAATAGGAACACCAAACTCCCTAAATTTGAACCACCGTGTTTCGACGGAAACCCGGCTGATTATTTACAGTTTGTAAGAGGATTTGAAATCATGTTCAGTGGTTTTTTATCAAATGATGAAATGAAGTTAATGTGTTTGATGAGGTATTGCACTGGAATTGCTGCAAGAGCTATACAGTTTTGTAAGTTTATGAAGTCAAAAGAGATATACTACGAGGCTATGAGCATACCACGTCAAAGGTCTGGAAGACCTTCGATGATTTTAGGGAAATTATTCGAGGCTGTTAAGGGTAATGGTGGTCAATTACAAGATGACTCCCAGGCACTCACTGAGTATTTGGGTAATCTGTTGACTTACAAGAATGCATTGATTTCGATGAATTTCATGAGTGACCTCAACTCGAGTTTTATACTAGGAGTAATAGCAGGACGCCTACCTAATAGACTGCAAAGGAAGTGGGTGAAGATAAGCTCCCGTATGGAGGATGAAGGTTTAGAGGTTGACAGATATCTCGTTCAGCAACTTCTAATTTATTTATTCTCGCGTACCAAAGACAAAGCAAAAGTCAATATTTGATCGTCCAAACTATGTGATGTATTTCGGGACAAAAACAAGCATTCAGACGAACGCTTAGCTAGCTAGTGATCGTGCACGTGGCGCAACTGGGTACCAAATGGCGGGGATGCTTGACCGGAAGCCTTCAGCTAAACAAGTCGACTTAAACAGTGGTGGTCAGCATCCAATGAGTGATTGCTGTGGTCAATAATTTTGGGGAAATATTTACCGCTACAGCTCACTCCCACCCTAGTGGGGTCGTGAGGACCCTAGGACAGAACCAGCCGGAGGTAAAAAAACTCGATGGTTCCCTTTTGGGTGAAAAAAATCTTCCGAGCGGCTTGGTGGTATGCCTACTGGTTTGTCTGCCTATGCTAATGGGGTGTTTGTACATAGCTTCCTTGTTGTTGTTCGTTGGATTCGGTGCTTCGTTTGTTTCTTGTCCAGTGCCCGTCGCACCTGGAAAAGAAAACAAGAACGCTAAGAACCATGTCGAGGAAAATGTACGAAATGAGCTTTTGGGTTAAAAAAAATTATGTGCATTTACTATACAGTAAAATAATGCTAAGTTCAGAACATCGATAAAAAAAATACATCTAATTAATTTTTTTGTGTATGTTACATGAACTGTTGAGAAAAAAAATTTTGTGTTCGGTGGTACTGTATATAAAAAAATTGATACGTCAAAAAAATAGTTAGTACCACAAACGAATGAGTTGCGTGAATCACACGACTTCCTTAAGTCAAATAAGTGTGCAGATATTCTGGGAACCTTACGGTGCGTTCAGAACGGGTTTTCTTGGGAGGCTCGATAGAAGGTTCGGTAGCTGTCGCTGTGCTAGTGACTTCATCGATGTCTAGACGATCTTCTGTTACTTGTGGATTTTGGGGTACGCCGAGCTCTATGCTAATAGGATTACCCTCCAAGTA